ACCCACCCACCCCAAAAAACCCGGGGAAAAGAGTGGAAGGCAAGGCCACGAAGGACTCTAGGATGACCGCAGCAGGGGGCAGCCTTCCAAGATGACGGCCTGGGACTGTCTTGTGTGGGGTTTCGGCCGCGAGGCTTACGACAGCTCGGCGTAGGCAGCAGAGCAGGTGGAAAGAGCGAAGGGGATCCGCCCCCGCCCGACCCCGAAACAAAGTGCCGGGGAGGGGGCGTCCGGATACGGACGCCACTGCTAGGACGTGCCTTCGAGTCTCAAATCACAAGCGAGGGCTTCCCGGGCTGGTCCCCTCGCCCAAACGGAGCGCTGCCGTTAGGGGCGTCTTTTTCAGCTCCGACCACAAAGGACCGTCGGAGCATCTTCAGCCGGTGCCCTCCTTGTATCCCACAAAAGGAGCCGTCGCCCCACCTCGCCCGGCAAGCGGCGTTGCCAATGCACCATTTGGGGTTGCTAATGGCTTCTGCCTCCGGCTGCGCCCGCCCGCCGGTCCGTCCCACGTTCAAGGAGCATCTTGCCGGTGGGAGGCGCGGAATTCCCTTGATCATCCTCCGGGGCTAAACGGGGAGCTTGTAGGGAAGGAGCGGGAGAGCGATTTCCCAGGGAAAAGCAGACAGGCAGACACCGCCCACGCCCCCCTTGTACAAAGCGGCTGGAGCCACCGCCCCCCTACCCACCGAGGGGACAAAGAGCTGGATCGCCCGCTCTCCGGGGGGAGCTTACCAGTCCGTGGGGCTGTCTTCCCCGATCACCTCCTGATAGGAGGCCAGCAGCTCCAGGCGGTTCGCGCTGAAGCTCACGCCAGCCATGCCGGCGGCGACGGAAGGATGCTGCTTTCGGGAGCAGAGAGCAGTGCCGGAGCCGCGCTCGGATTAAGACAGGCCGCCTTGCCTGCTTGCCTCGGAGACACTGCAGCAGCGGAGAGGGAGCCGGGCGGGCGAGGAGTAGAGGCTCCGCCTGCGCGCGCGCTGGGTCCTAGCGCCGGGATCACGAGCTCCCCCTCCCGCCCCTGCCCCGTCTCTTCAGCACCAGAAACCGGCGCCTCCCGGTTTCTCCACACGTGGGTGCGCGGAATCAGCCATCTTGCAGCCCTGAAAGCCTTGGCCAAAAGAGTCCGGCCGGCACGAGAGAGAAAGAACCTGCCCTGCCTTCCCCACCACCTGGCGTGCCCTCAGGTGTAAGTTTTGGGCGTAGGAGATGGGCGATCCCCAACAGATCTTCCGTTCCTTCTGTGCAGCCACTGGGGAACTGTATCCAGAGAGGCCTCGGGGTGAACTTCACTCAGGAGCGGCACTGTGCACAGGCGCTAATAGGCTGTTTTGTATAAAACAACTTTCTGGTTGTGATTTGTCCCACAATTCCTGGCCAGAAAGGAACTGATGGGGCAACCTCTTCCAAACTCCATTCTCTGGTGCACATCACAGAGTACAATATAAACTCTTTAAGGGAAACGGAAACTTCCCCAATCTTGCACCTTCTGGGGTGTTTCCCATTGCAAAGCCCATCAGGCGTGATGGCTGTGTGGGATGGTGGTAATCATATCCAGCACATCTGGATATCATCAGGCTGGGAAAAGATTTGAGCAGGGAAGCCATCCTCAGCCCGGATGATTTACACCAGAACAATTGCATCAATATAGACAAGAGCAGCTGCTGGGGTTTTTTCTTTCTTTCCAAATAATACAGATCCCTCCTGTATTCTTTTTTTTTTAAAGTTGATCACTGCTTGCTGCATTTGGAAAAGTGCAGGATGCTTACCCCTGCCAGATTTTCCTTCCTATCACTCCTCAGCACTTCTCATAGGCATTAGATGTCTGCCTGTTTGAAAGATGTCTGCCTCCTGTTTAGCTTCTCCAGGTCATTTTCTGGGACTGTGAAGTCAGACAAAGGCTCGTTCTCATAATGAGTGGGTGGCAGCTGGGCTGTCATGGCACCTTGCAAAATCCATCAAGTGAGAGGCTTTCTTTCCCCCCCCCCTGCATTTTTTTTTCCTAGTCACCTGGCTTCTTCAGCTAAAGCCCATGTGGTTTCTAGTGGCAAGGCAATCAAACTGAGCAGCTGTAAAGATGACCTGGACAAGGTGAAGAATAGGGAGAAACTAATTGCCCCGCTTGACATTCCCATTTGTTCCATCTGCGCTTTCCAAAACCCAACAAGCAAATCTTCCCCCTCACCACCACCACCACCAATAGAACAAGTACAAAAACCAGCAGAACCAGGCTCTGCCAAACTACTATATTCAGAAATATTTATAAACCAAAAATCCTAGGAGTAAAGGTTGGTCTAGTTAGTATTTGGAAGGGAGGAACCTGCATGAAATATCATGGAAGTTGAAAAATATCCTAGGAGATGGTAATGGCAAACCTTTGCTGCTCCAAAAATATGTTCATATCGTCCCCAGGATTCAAATTCAATTTGAGGGGGACTTTACTCCTTAGCAACAATTATGAATGAATGGAGTTTAACAGAGGTTTCCATGTGTGCTAAGCTCTTGTTATCATCTATCTTACAGTCTACTTATAGATCAACTTTCCTTGAAACAATGACCTCAAGGCATTGATCTAGTGTGTGCTTTTGATGAGGCTTTGCTTCCCTAGAAAAATGTGCTCCATTGAAAAGTTGCCTCATCACAATAAATCTTACATTAAAATTAGGATCAATAATCATCAAAGGCACAAAGGTAACATCCAACAAAATGAGCCCCCACAGCAGGCCCCAAAACTTAAATAATCACAACAGACTATATATATATATATATATATATATATATATATATATATATATATATATATATA